AATTTAACTCTGGGCAAGTAAAATTTTTTAAATATATAATGAACTTAAATTTACTATATTAACAGATTTATTTTATCATTATTGTTATTATTATTTTAGCTCTAAATGGTTGGACAAGTCTTGATGGAAAAGCATTATAGAATTTTATTGTTCATACTGATAATGGAAATGATATACTTTGGAAAATACTTGATTTTTCTGATAAAAGTCATACAGGCCAATATCTTGCAGAACAAATTGAAGCCATCCTAAATGATATTGGAAATCATAAATTTTCTGCTATTGTAACTGATGCTGGACCAAATGTTAATGTAGCATAACGAATTATAGTTCAAAATTTTCTACATATTTTTAATATTCAGTGTATTTTACATTGTCTTAACCTTATTACTAAAGACTTGCTTAAGCATACATTTGCAATATGAATTATGAATTGGTCAACTGTAGTAACATCTTATTTTAATGAAAATCCTAATGTTGTAATTAATAAAACAGTACAAACTATCATTTTACGGAAACGAGGATTTTTTCAAGATGTTTATGATCTAATAAATATTATCAAGCCCATTAAAGATGCTATTACTTTTTTAGAAAAAAAAGATGTGAATCTTGCTGATTGCTTTTTTGGACTTGCTCAGTTAGGAGCCACTATTAAACTGATATCAGAAACAGAACATAAAATGTTTCGTTATCATTGCATAAAAGTTTTTAATTCTCGTTTCAAGGAATTTAACTTTGATGAGCACTTGCTTGCATATTATCTACATCCGGGATATCGAGGCAAGTATAATATTTATTTAAATTTTATAAATTTATAAGTCATTATATAACAGGATAAAACCCGTATCAAAAATGGTTATATTATTTATGTATATCATTACTTGAATAATATTTAACCTTAATTAAATATAGATCTGTACCAAAAAAAATAACCTAAAAAATATGGGTTTATATGTATTTGTATTGTATAATTAAAATCAACTAGTTTTACCCTGTTCTCTTACGTATTATTTATTGAAAATTTAATAGTTATTGGTATTATTGATGGTCAGTTTTTACGAATTAGCACCACGGCAGCTGCAATATGGCAACAAATGATGAAAACTAGTAGTATCGCTATAATATTAAAACAAAAAAAACACATTAAATAAACAGCAGGTCAAATTCTTATTGCACAGTTGCATGATTATCATACGTGAAAATCACCTTATCATGCAACTTATACATTTAATGTTGATCATCCCTGAACATGGTAGGAAACCTGTGAACCAAGTTTATCATACCTCTGGTTATTGGCTATTAAATTGTTTTCTGTTTTGCCACATGCAGCCAATTGTGAACATATTTGGTCAATTTGCAGTTGGATTTATGGAAAGCAGTGTGTGAGTCTTTTAGTTGAGAATTTGGATGTGATTGCTCAGATTTGATCATATTATATTGCCAACAGTAAATATGAATTGTCACACTATAGTGTAGACAAACCAATTGAAGATATTAAAAAAACACTATATAATGCAGATCTTTATGAAGAATCCAATAATGTTACCTTTGAGCAAGCTATAATGAATGTTAATATTAATCAGTCTAGTACTGATGACGATGATGATAATGTTTCAGAAGAGTCTTTTGAATTAGAAAACACTTTAAATTTGTTAAATTCATTATTTCTAATGGAGAAAAACCAACAATTTGAAGCAAATATTATAGATGATAATGATGCAGGATCAAGTAACTGGTTGGAAGAATTAAATTAAGAAGAAGATTATGACCCAGCTGAATTAGAAAAAATGTTTTTGAATTAGAACAAATTTGTAATAAAATTTATAAAATAGCTCAGCATGAATCAGCAATTTATAGCTTAGATTAGTTAAACCAAGCATTTAAAAAGTTATTGATACATATAAGTTCTTTGTTACTATTTTTTTTTTTTGTACATGCTATTTTTGTATATGTTTTTTTCTCTGTTTTTTGTTTCGTATTTCCATTATAATCATTATATAATAGATCAATTTTGAGACTAATCTCAAGCGTTTACTTGAAAAAATTATATTATATTAGTAGTTTATTCCTCGGATTAGTAAAGGTCAACTCTTACATTAGAGGTATATGATTAAATTATATTTTTTGGTTTATTATATATACTAGTAATTCACTTATTATTTCTAAAAATTTTAATTGTATATAACAGTGTAATTAAATTGAGCATAATAATGAGTTACGATTTGGATCAAAAATTATACTAATCTATTAAAATACTAGGCAAGGAAGTTTTTTATAAAAGAGTAAGTATAAATATATCAATTTATGATACTTAATCTGTTTCTTATAATCTAGAACATTGTGTTTTTTTATGCATTTTAGGTATATTCATGTATTCTATATAAATAAAAAACATGTATATAATATAAACTTGAATCTTTAATTTTCATACTTTTACGGGAGGAACAAGAGATAAATTGTATGAATCTTTGTTACAGGAAAATGAACAAAGCTGATTTATTAATATGTCTTGAAAATAAGTATATAATTATGATAAAATAGCTGGTCTATTTATTTTTTAGGTTTACTGATTAATCTAATATTTATTTATTATTTATTAAGACTTGCGTATCTTAATCTACTATGATTAATTCATTTTAAAAGGATTGTAATGGTATAATATTCTCTAAGATTTTAGTTTACAAAATAAGTTGTTCAATTCATTGGTTTTTATAGATAACTAAAATTTATACTTCTTTAGTGTTTATATTTGGATTTTTTTAAGAAACATTTAATAATTTTGTTTTTACAAGTATTTAGTAAAAATAATTGTATTAATTTATTACAAATGTAATTTCTAATTATGTGATATATATAACATCTCATAATAAATTGAAGTTTTAGAATTTACTTGTCTTGATTTTATGATACTGTAATTATTAAAGCATTTTCGCTAATGTCATTTGAACTTCAAATTTAAGAGATATATATATATCACATAAATTTTGGTTTTTTTAGCATATTTATGATATATAATTATATAGTTTGCTATTCTCTAATATTAAATTAGACCAATATAAATTATATTTTGTGGTTTGAACAGAATCTGCAGAAATAATTATATTCGAGTTTTATTGAATTGTAATTATAGCTGTTGAAAGAAAACCAGACTTCAGTATTCAATTTATTATTTGCAAAACTCTATCTTTGAAAATTGTTATTTCGATAACACTATTTTATTAATATATATTGAAACTAATCATATACATGCCTTTTTAATTGTAGATATATGAATATACATATATTATTAAACAGATTTTTCAAAGGCAGAGTTTAGTAAATAAAGAACTTGAAAGCCTAAAAGTTGGTTTTTTCTTGTAGAACTAACATAATTTAGAATTTTAGTTTGAGATTTATATTGGTTTAAGTTTTAGAAAACATTCTAGATTAGAGTTTTGGCAATTATAATAAAGATTTTGGTACTTGGTATTAGTTTGGGATTTTGGCATCAGTTTAGGTTTCGGGAAAATCATTCTAGTTTAGGTTTTTGTTATTAGTTTGGGATTTTAGTATTAGTTTGGGATTTTGGCACTAGTTTAGGATTTTGGTTTTGGTTTAGGTTTCGGGAAAATTATCTAAGTTTAGGATTTTGACATTGGTTTGGGATTGTGGCATTAGTTTGGGATTTTGGTATTAGTTTAGGTTTTGCAAAAATTATTCAAGTTTAGGGTTTTTGCATTAGTTTAGGTTTTTGATACTAGTTTGGGTTTTTGACACTAGTTTGGGTTTTTGAAATTTGTTTAGGGTTTTGATTCTTATAGTTAAAACCTGAAACCTTTAGGCTTTAAAAAATTAGTTTCAGTTCCCACCTCTAATTAATATTATAATATATTATTTTTATTTTTTTATTCTTTTTTTTCTATTTTCTTTTAATTAGTTTTGTTCTGTTTTTATATTATCTAACTTTTTCTTTTTTTTTTATTATTCCTTTTTTTTTGACAAGAAGGTACTGTTCTTTTTTTAAATATTTTCTTTCTCTTTACAGAAAATTCTTAAACTTTTTGTCTGTTTTTATTAGTTCAACTAGAACATCTTTAGAAGTAATCAGATTGGGCTTTTTATACTTTTTTTTAGTTATTTCTAATCTTTCTAATATTTGGTCTAGTATGTTTTCTATATCTAATACTTACTTTTATAATTCCTTTATATTTTTATTTTTTCTTTTGAACTTTTTTGTTTCTGATCTGTAACAGTTAGGTTTTTTTTATCTTTTTTTTGTTTAATAGCTTCTGTTTTTCTATTTATTTTTTTTACCTTTTGACCTCATATTATATTTATTCTTATTCATAAATTCCTCTATGCTTATATACTTTTTTTAAATATTTCTCTTTCTCTTTATAGAAAATTCTCAAACTTTTTGTCTGTTCTTATTAGTTCAACTAGAACATCTTTAGAAGTAATCAGATTGGGCTTTTCATACTTTTTTTAGTTATTTCTAATCTTTCTAATATTTGGCCTAGTATGTTTTTTATATCTAATACTTACTTTTGTAATTCCTTTATATTTTGATTTTTTCTTTTGGATTTTTTTGTTTTTGATTTGTAACAGTTAGGTTTTTTTTATCTTTTTTTTGTTTAATAGCTTCTGTTCTTCTATTTATCTTTTTTATCTTTTAATCTTATATTATATTTATTTTTATTCATAAACTTCTCTATACTTATATATTTTTTTTAAAAAATAATGTCTTTTGTTGTTTCTTTTCTTTATATTTTTCATATTTTGTTACTATTTTTATAAGATTTTCTATTTGTCTTTTTTTTTAACTTTTCAAAATATTGCAACTTTATTGTATTAGACTTTTTTCTTAGTAGTTATATCCATGTCTGCTTGGTTTTTGAATAATATTACTGTGTAGTTTCTTAGTTTTCCTTATCTATTTGGTAGAATATATATTGCTATTACCTTTTTAGATTTAAGTTCTTATAAAAGAATTAGTTTAGAGATTTCTTTTAATATTTCTTTTAGCCTTATAATAAATTGAATTTTTTTTTTTTTCTACTTCTTTTTTGCCTATTGTCATTCTTGCCAATTTTTTATTCTTTAGAAAAATTACTCATAAAAATAATTATTTTTATTTTTTTCATCTTTATTATTGCTGTTGTTCTGTATGTATTTCTCTTAATTTTATTTATTGTTATTCTGCCTATTTTTTTTATTAATTATTTAACTTCAAACTCTAAAATATTCTTTGGAAATCTTATATTGTTAGTATTATTATATTTTTATTTTTTTTATCTGTATTTGCTTCTTTTTGATTATATATTTTATCTTCTGTTCTTTTAGTTTTCTTTATATTCTTTTCTTTTTTTTCTTGTTTGTCTTTGCTCTGATTTTTCTTTCTTCTTGTTTTTGTTTTCTTTTAATTCTTTTATATCTGAAATTATTCTAAATCAATTATTATGTTTTCTCTAGATCTTGCTAATTGTTTATTCTTTATCATATTTATAGTTAAATGTAATAATAATTTAATTATTATTATTATTATTTTTTTTTTTGGTATTAAGGTGACCTTTTTGGTCTTTTGACTTTTATTAATCACTTGTCGGCATTGTGGTTTAATGAACCACTACAGGAGAGCATACAATTGGCTACACATGTAACTTTTCTATATTACCTATTTAAGG